ACACGCACAACACACACGATCCGAGTGAGCACGTGCAAAGGAGGCGACAATGGTGGAGGTGAGAGTGGAAGGCACCATGTGTGGAGGACCAGCGGCAGGTGTTGACGGGAGCCGTGTGGAGCCCCGAGAAGCGGTGGGTGATGCGCTGCACGAGCCTCGTCTCGGTCGCCGCCGACTTCTGTGGTCGCCGCGTGCGGTTGAAGAGGGTCGAGGGCAACCGCGGCTGCACCAGGCGCGCCGTGCACGACGACAACGACGTAGACGTAGACGAAGCAGAAGTTGAAGAAGACGGTGGCGGGGTTGGGGCGAGTAGCGGCAACGTAGAGGAAGGGGCGGTAGATGTCGAAGACGGAGATGAAGACGAAGATGGCTTCTCGTCCTCGCCGTGTAGAAGGGGAAGGTGAAAAAAGCTGGATGCTCCTTGACGTCGCGTCCTCTTGGCCTCGTAGGGCCGCAGGCTGCTGGAAGGTGGCTCGGGCAGGGCCTCTGCAGCCCCAGTCCATTTCCTCTTGACGCCGGGACCCACGCAGGGATCGGGACCCACTTCGGGATAGTAGCAAACGTTAGCGCCTCGCTGGTGCTGTTGGAACAGGAGGCGATATTGATCCATCGCCCCCGCTGGCTGCGAGGCGAAGAAATTCGATGGATTGTGTGTTTGGCCATAGAGAGTGGGGGCGAGCGGTGGCGGGGCTGAATCCGGGAGAGAAGGGACTGGCACTAGACCCATCTCATCTTCCTCCTCACCAGTGCCGTAGGCACCCAGCAAGCTCTCCATCTATCGCGCTGTAAAATCTGATCTGATGAATAGAAAGTGACTGGTGATTTTCTACGCCACAAAAAACTTCGAGGAAGTCTGAAAAACAATCAACATGCATGTGCTGAATGAAGGAATCTCGGCAGCCAAGCATGCTTGGCCAGCAACGAGCTGCAAAATGTACATAGGGTGGAAAAGAGGTGGTTTGTTGTTCCTACGACGAAGGGGCCGCCAACGCTGCACTAGCATGGATGCATGGCCTCCAGGACGGGAATGTTGGTGATGAGGCTTACGGTGCCGGTGAACCGAGCCCAGTAGCGCGTTCCAATCGACAGGCTGAGATCGGGCCGCTCCTCGAGCACCTCCACGCGAACGCCCCACGGTTCCTTGCACACGATCTTAGCCTCCACCTGCGCGAGAGAAACCCGTCAGTATAAAGAATTGTGTGCAGCGTAGAGGATGAAACACATTGCGTACCGATTGTTGTGAGTCGCAAAAGCGCAAGATGATGTGTCGCGCTCGCGGGATGTCCCTTGCGTCAGGCTTCTTCTGGACCACTCTCTGGTGCTTGGCCGACTGGTCCATCTCGTGCGAGGCAGGGAAGGAAACGATAACGGTCGAGCTGCGCTCCTCGCGCGGTCGATGCTGCTGT